TGTGTGTGTGTGTGTGTGTGTGTGTGTGTGTGTGTGTGTGTGATTTGTGAGGAGTTCTGACAACATGAAGCACGCTTTCATTAAATGTGTCTAAAAAATTGAGAAAAACTGAAAACATGCATTTGAGCATGAAATATTTCAGTCACTGCTGTTTGTTGGTTTAATGAACATATATTTACTCAAACCTTTTTTTTAAATGGCAGTTTTATTACGTGTGTGTGCAGCATCATGTGGCCCTCTGCCAGTGTCAACAGAAAACTGTGGCCCCTCCCATCCCTGTTAACRCCGGTCCTGAGCTCTTACGATGATCATGGCGAGGAAGGCGAAGCCCATGAGGACGCTCTCCACCTCGATGAGCAGCATGGAGCGGGGCAGGTGGGTGAGCACGGTCGTGTTGAAGCCGGGTATGATCCCAGTGATCGCAGCGCCTGTTGGGCCGAGAAAACATGAAGAAATCTGATGAAACGGTCAGAAATGAGCAGAGGAGACGAGAAAATTAAGGTTTTGGTTGCTTTGAGTCAAAATAAAAAAGAAATTTTATAATTATTTTAGACGAATAAATAAAAATAGACGTGTATATTAATGTATATGTGGCTTTCATGTGTACTTAAAGTATTAGGCGGTGGAGTGAGCTTCATGGTTGTTCTGCTTCCTTCTATAACTGATTTTATTAAAAACTAAAAAGTTTTTTTAGCAGAGAAACATTTTACTTYATCAAAGTAAGAGTTTAATGAAGCAGCGACTCATTTAACAGTAAAAACAGCAGCTTTTATTTCAGAGCCGTGATTCTTTTTTAAATGTTAAAACGACAACATTTGTATAAAGTGGGGATGTTGTGAACGCAGATAATCAGGTTGGTTGAGGTCTGACGTCTCCAAACATAAACTGACACCTTCCAAATCTGTGAAATCTCACATTCAGCAGAAAATGCTGCAACATATGAATTTATTTCAAGCTGTTTTTACACTGGATTCTCGCTAGTTTATCATCTTTTACACCACCAGAGACAGCTGATTCAAACTTTAAATTATGACTAAATGATTTAAAACCACCCACTGAAATGGAAGAATGCTTTAATTCTGTTCCTGTTGGATTAAAAACAAATCACTTTTTATATTCTGATAATAAAACTCCAGGAGAGGAAAACCTGACCAAAAAAAAACAAGAATTCGGCTGAATAAATTCACACTTCTGGTCCACAAATAAACTCAGACGCACATCTCAGGCAGGAAGGCAGAGCACCCTGAGAAAACCATTTGTGTGAGATGAGAGAGCTGCCACCTCACAGAACCTTGTACGGGTGCTGGTCATAAAATTAGAATATCATGAAAAAGTAGATTTATTTCAGTAAATCCATTTAAAAAGTGAAACTTGTAT